GGGGGGGGACCAAAAAAGGTTAATTTAACAAGGGTAAAAGAGATAAAATTGAAGTAACAAGGGGTTGATAACATCGAATTTTCTTCCCGATTGTAGGTACAAGAATAAATATGTCATACAGTGCGGCTCGACATTTGTCTTAAAGAATGACAAAGCCGTCATGAACGCATACTTGAATCATCCTTCGAAGGTAGACCTGCTTTGGTTTCAACAGGCTTACTTTCCCTTGCCTCCACCTCAACCTCGTCGTCTTCCGTCAAATCAATCACAGCTTCAACTTTCTTCTTTTCCGCACTTTCTTCCTCTTTCTCTCCACCGTAACCCCGCGGGACAAGTGTCGAGGGCCGCAAATCATATTTACCCTTAGAGGATATGGGTGACTGTTTCTCCTGCGACTTTGTCTTTATCTCTTCGAGAGAACAAGACTCCGTTTTGTCTGTGTGAGAACTGAAGTCCATTTTGGCTTCGTTTTCAGTGTTTATGGATGTCATGTTAGCGTTCTGTAGGTGATTTGTGTCACGCTGAATCACGCTAAAGAGAATTAATACCGAGATGTTTTTGATGTTGACACGATCTCACAGGCTAATGAGTGTACATTCACTGCTCTCGTATGCCAAGATCATCACAACATTAATAGATCACTAATAAATGTATTCTGTTTACATCAAATCGAAATCAGCTCACATCCAATACGTAATAACGATTTCTATACCTCAGCGAAGCAAGACGCCTGTTTTCCTCAGGAGGACCTGAGCAAAGATGACAAAAGAAACACAGTCAAGTATGCATCTGGCCCCGGTTGTTTAAAGAGTCGATAACGCTATCCACTGGATAAATCGCTATCGGGTACATACCTCAGTATGTTCTGTCAACACTTATCCGCTAGATGGTGATTTATCCGTTGGATAGTATTATCCGTCCTTTGAACTACTTACCCTTACGAAATTTTCAGGAAAATCACTCAATTATCGTTCATGCGCTATTGGGCGTCAAGAAAACTTAACAAGGAAGAAACAGACAGTCTTCATCAAAAGAGAACCGACCCTAGCTTCTGCAAAAATCTTATAGCGCCAATTTTGCAACTTTAAATCTTGTTGTAAAGT